GAGGACAGAGCCGTCGGTGCCGGCCCATCCATCGCCCTGACCCATCTCAGCTGCTCTCTCACGGACGGGGGCAGCGCCTGGTGACACAGTTCACGCTGCAGCTCCCAACACCTGCCCAGGCAGAGCAGTGCTGCCAGCTGCCCTTCCTGCGCGCTGTGCGCTGCGGGATCAGAACCAGACTGCCTCCAGCTGCAAGAAGCTGCCTTAACATCTGCTCGGTGCGGGAAGCAGTTCAACAAGCAGGGCTGTCCGTGCGCCGCCGGGCCGCGGGTGCTTTGTGCAGCCCGTCAGCGGGGGCAGCGTCTGGGCCACGCTCGGGGAGGGTGTCCACACTCGTGCGCTGACAGCGAGCGGCCACCTCAGAGCACGGGGCAGGGACCCAGCACGCGGCAGCCTGCGCGAGAGGCAGCAGCACAGCCACGGTGCTGCAAAGCCCAGGGGCACAGAGCACCCAAACGTTGTGTGCTTCAACAGTCTGGAAAAAACACCAACTCCTGCAACGCACGAGGAACCCAGCTTACCTTTACCGCTTGAAGCCATCCTTAAAGTAGGACACAGCATTCCTGGTTATTTTTCAAGCTGTACTTTTAGGGCTATCAGGCTTTTCCCGTGACTTTAGGAATCTCTCCCCTCCTGCTCTTCCTCCCATCCCCCAGGCATCTCCCTCGGGAGTGACTTCAGGGTATAGAGGTGCTTATCTTGGCTCTTCCAGAGTTCCAGCGTGGCACTAACACTGGCTCGCTCTGCTCAGAGTTCACCTGTCTCTGCTGATTACATCAGTGCTCAGCTCAGCAGGTATCTGGCTACAATAAAAAGCGCTGTGTCAAGCCCGCCAGCGGGGCCGGCCGGGGCATTTCCCAGGAACAGCGCTGCAGCCGCGCGGGGAGCTGCTTCCTCAACAGCGCGGGCAGCAAACGCTGCAGCTGCAGCCGCCGGGCGCCCGCAGCACCCAGGGCTGCGCGCCCTTCTCCAGGCTCCCTGCGGCACCGCTTTGCTGCTCGGCCAGGGCTCCCTGTCCCGCAGCGCTCCCCATGCAGCCCCGTTGAGCGCGTTTCGGCCCGGTGTGCGGCACCTGCCCCAGGCACAGGGACGCCTCCTCCCACCCCACGTCATTCCCTTTGGGGGGCAGATGAGGAAGGAAGTGGCTCTTGAGGAGCTTTGCAAGGAGACTTTGCAGTCGAAACACACAACTCTGGTGCAGTACAGTGAGGATTTGAAGCTCTGGCATAGATAACTCTTGGCGAAGTCTTTCCCCTGTATCTGAATCTAAGCCGTACTACAGTAAATCTGCTCTTTACTACAGGATTAACACCTGCAAAAACAGTAAAGAGTTTTCCTCTAAACTGAAGAGCTTGTTCCCCACCCTTGAGCGAGGGCAGCCGTTCCGGCAAGTCCCCCGCAGCCCCAAAAGGGGGATGAAGGAGAAGCGGCAGCTGATCGTCGCCCCGCACCACGCTGTGGGCCCGAGCCCAGCAACGCAGCGTCCCCAGCGCAGGCAGAGCGCCTCCGCTCCGCGGGTCTGCTCGGGCGCGCTCCTCCTCCTCCTCTCCCCTCCCTGCCAAGCGGGATGGCCTCCGTGCTCCGCTGCAGCCGGCATGTGAGCAGGTTTCCTGGCGCAAAGCTGCCCGAGCGGCCGGTGCCATTACTCACCGGTGCTGATCGGGTGCCAGGTGCGGAGCCCAGGCCCGGGGTCGGAAGGACTGCTGTCCTAGCTGCCTCTGCAAGTCTGGAGGGATTTCAGCTGTAGGGTTGGTCAGTGCCAGAGTGTGTCTTTTTGACCTATTTGCCAAGTATCTGCAACGAGCAGGAGCACATTTCATAAGAGACTGGTGGGAGCACTCCGAAAGCAGGGAGCGTGAGCTACCCCGCAGCACGGGCGGAGGAAGGATGCCTGCTGCGGCGCTCGGACACGGCCGGGCACGCGCGGCGCGCTGCGGCGCCCGCGGCACGGGAGATTCCCGCTGCTCCCGGCCTCGGCACGGAAGATTCCCGCTGCTCCCGGACTCGGCACGGGAGATTCCCGCTGCTCCCGGCCTCGGCACGGGAGGTTCCCGCTGCTCCCCGCCCCC